ACAATCTTGGCAGCAGAAAAGTATAGCACCAACGGTTTAAATGTGTGTATGTGTGTGTGTGTGTGTGTTGGTGCACATGCATACACACACATACACACACACACACACACACACAGAAAACCCATCCACAGAACTTATCTCCCTTAGCTTTGTGTTTTCTGAGAGTTAGAGAAAGACCTCATTATTGGGCCCCTGGGGTGGAATGCAAGGGCTGTTCTGTAGTTTACTCAACTCTGACCCCTGGATCATATTATTTGAGCCTTATAAAAGCACTGTTGGAACTGGGCATGGTGGCTCACACCTGTAATCCCAGCACTTTGGGAGGCTGAGGCAGGCAGATAACCTGAGGTCATGAGTTCGAGACCAGCCTGGCCAACATGCCAACATGGTGAAACCCTATCTCTATTTAAAATACAAAAATTAGCTGGGCATGGCGGCAGGTGCCTGTAATCCCAGCTACTCAGGAGGCTGAGGCAAGAACCCAGGAGGCGGAGGTTGCAGTGAGCTGAGATTGTGCCACTGCACCCTAGCCTGGGTGACAGAGTCAGGCTCCATCTCAAAAAAAAAAACAAAGAGCTTTGTCAGGCAGGCTGGCAGGCTGTAGTAACTCTGCTGCCTCAAAGTCTTCTGAGAAACAAAGGGCACATGTGTACATTTCAGATAAATCCCAGGCCCAGTGGTAAACACACTAGTCCGTAGCCATGTATGCCATATCCGAAATATGCCTGTCTTCTGTTCATCCCTTAAGGCCTCGCTAGAGACCAGGCATCTCATCTGATTCACACATTCTACTATGTAAGCTCAGGCTAATGGCTTCATCTTGTTCCCTGTTTGGTGGCATATAAATATTTCACAGGGCCCTTCTGGAGTTGTCCTTAAGGCAAAAATCTCAGGTATCATTGTCATCATGCAGATGTTACCCCTCCATGCCAGACCATGAGGAGAGTTTTCGTAGACCACCTCACTCATGTCTCTCAGCAAACCCATGTGTGGAAGGAAAAAGTTTATCACCATTTTACAGATGAGGAGACTGAGGCTCAAGCAATAAGGTAAGTCACTCAAAGTCATTTAGCTTATTAATAACAGAGCTAAGGCCAGGTGCAGTGGCTCATGCCTATAATACCAGCACTTTAGGAGGCCAAGGCAAGCAGATCACCTGAGGTAGGAAGTTCGAAACCAGCCTAACCAACATGGCAAGACCCATCTCTACTAAAAATACAAAAATTAGCCAGGCGTGGTGGTGGGCATCTGCAATTCCAGCTACTCGGGAGGCTGAAGCAGGAGAATCACTTGAACCTAGGAGGCAGATGTTGCAATGAGCCAAGATCGAGCCACTGCACTCCAGCCTGGGGGACAGAGCAAGACTCTGTCTCAAAACAAAAAAAAACATAGAGCTGAGCCCCTGATTCCCAAGGCCATGATTTGGACCCTTGGGTTATATTGACATAGGAAAAGGTATCTGGGGGTGAGGATGAGCCACCGTCACCTACATCACGATGTGACCTGCCCAGTGGCTCTGCATAGTTCTCCCATCCAAGTACTGGCCAGGCCCAACCCTGCTTAGCTTCTGAGATCAGGCACAGTCAGGGTAGTATGGCTGTAGACTGGCTCTGCCTAGTTGAGCACAGAGGTGTGGCTGTTCGTCACATGCATCACCCTAATAGCCAGATGTTCTAAGATGCAGTTCATTTATCCTCCTCACTGCCACGTGAGGCCAGAACTGTCAACTCCACTTTGCTAGTGAGAAAAATGAGGCTCAGAGAAGGGCTTCGATTTGCCTGAGGCCACACAGCCCATACATAACAGGCAAGGTCACACCTTGAACTGGTGTCTTCTGCCTCCAGGTCCAGGGTCCTTCCCCGACACCCTGTCTCTCCAGACTCAGGTGGGTGGGGTGGCCGCGAACAGAAGCCGCCCTGTCCTGCCAAGTACACGCCTGCCTGCTGCACACAGTGGGGGAAATTGCACAAGTTCCTTGGGATGGCTCAGGTGTGGCCAGGCTGCAAGCCCTCCCGGGGGCCTCCTCCTGACTCACACTTTTCCTCTTCCTCCCCTCATTCTGCACCACAGCTGCCAGAGACCAGGTTCCCTCCCTTCCTGAAAACAGGGCTCTCCTGGCACATCCGCAGGGCTTCTCTCTGTTCTGAAGTGGAGTCTGGCTCTGTTGCCCGAGCTGGAGTGCAGTGGTGCAATCTTGGCTCACTGCAACCTCCGCCTCCTGGGTTCAAGAGATTCTCCTCCTGCATGGCTGGGACTACAGGTGTGCACTATTGTGCCTAGTTAATTTTTGTATTATTAGTAGAGGCAGGGTTTCACCATGTTGGCCAGGATGGTCTCGATCTCTTGACCTCGTGATCCGCCCACCTCGGCCTCCCAAAGTGCTGGGATTACAGGCGTGAGACACTGCACCCGGCCCACAGGGCTTTTTCTACACACAGTCCCTTCCATCCATCTCTGTCTCTGGCCCTGCGGGGCCTTGACAGGGAAATGCTGACTTTGAGGAGGTGAAAGGTGCTGGTGCCCGGCCTTCATCTAACAAATGGGTTGTGTGAGGGGAGGAACTCTTGTTGTTTTTTCCTGATCTCAGAAGAGGGGCCTGTCAGGAAGATGTAGGGGCCAGGAGGCCCCCGGCTGCGCCCTGCAAGGTGGCTGACAGACGCCAGCAGCTGCCGGGGGCTCTGGGGTGCCCAGGCCCTGTGTTCTCAGGGCAGAGCACCCACCGCGCCCCCTCCCGTGGCCCTCCTGACCTCCCCACCCACCCCACCATGACACAGGGCCCACTCTGTCCAGGGGCAAAGGGCCAGGCGCTGGGCCTCCCTGCCATGAGGTCCCTGGGCCAGATGCAGAGGCGGAGCGGGAATCCGGTTACAGCCTGTGGCTGGCCCAGGGGAAGGTTTTCCTAGGGAAGCTGACAGACCAGATCTTCCTCCCAGCCTCCCACGGATTCCTTCCAGAACCCCCACAGCACAGAGTGCCCCCCCCACAGGACCGCACAAGGCTGTTTCTGTAGAATTTCCTCAGAATTCCCCATTCTCAGATTTACCCTTTGGGATCTTCGAGGTTAACCACAAATAAATGTGCTAGGAAGGAAGCTATGTTTGTCCATTACCTACTCTGCTCTTTGCATAAAGGATTTCATTGAAATTTACAAATGTCTGTGGGCTGGGCTGCCTGGATTTGAATCCTGGGTCCGTCCTCAACTTCCCTGCTATGTGACCTTGTGCAGATTACACAGTCTCTCTGCATCGGAGTCCTCTGCTGAAAAACGGAGCTGATGAGAATGACTCTTGCCTCCGAAAGCTTTCATGGGAATTCATGGAGGTAAAAGTGTCTAAGATGCAAAGTGCCTTAGACAGATCCCATTCTGACTGTCATCTCAGATGAGTAAACAGAAATTCAGAGAGGTAAGTGACTTGTTCCAGGGCACACCGCCAGGAAGTGGAAGACCTGAGGTTTGAACTCAGACCTTTCTAACCTCAAACCCCATGTTTCTTCCTCTGCATCTGACCTGCTCCAGACTGAAGAGCAGGACCCCTGAGCCCAAGTGCTGGTTCCACCTTTTCTTTGGTATGTGAGTCTGGGCAGTCCAGTCAACCTTCTGAGCCTCAGTTTTGTCATCTGCAAAATGGAGATGTAATTCTTGCTTTACCCATCCTAGGAAAGTTATGAGGCTCAGAGAATTGTGTGTGCCACAGCTAAGCCCTTGGCAAAGCAGAGGGATGAGTCTGGTTGGCAGCTATGACTCCATCCCCTCTACTGGTCTACAACACCCTGACCGCTTGTTCCAGAAGAGAGTATGTCTTGTCATATGAACGTCCCTCCTCATCTTTTACAGCTGTTCTTGCTCCCGGGATGTGTATCTGACTGGAGTTTCTGGATTAAAGACAAGTCTCGGCTTTATTTCACATCCCTGGGTGCCTTTCCGCTCTTCCTAGGGGCATCTTCTGCACCTACTCCCCCAGGGCCCCATCTCCACGCCGCAGAGCTAAGACCCAGGGGCCCCTCCTCAGGGAGCCCCTGTTGTCTTTGGAAGCAGCCAGCAGAGATGCTGCTGTGAGGTCCATGCCTGGTTCTGCCCCCATCCTGCTGCTCTGGACCACGTACATCACCCGTGGGAAGGAGTTCTGGGCCCTGGGTGTTAGGAATGTCATCCTCCAAGAAATTGCATTAACCCTGTGAGAGACCAGCAGGGCACAGCCATGAGAAAAACTGATTGGGCATCGAGATGGCACTTGGGCTGGCTGCCCTGCGATGTGCACCAGCCCGGAGACCCACGTGCCTGCTTGCCAAAGAGGCACCTTTGGGGAACAAGGAGCCCCTGATTCCTATCTCCCAGCCCCAGATTCCTCAGAAGCCTCTGCCTCTGGAGGTTGAGAAAGGGAAACAGGTGGGTGGAGGTGAAGGGGGCAGGGAGCAGGTGGGAGGAGACTCGAAGAAACTTCATGGACCTTATTTAAGAATCTTGCCACTGCCATGAAGAAAAATGACTTGAAATCTCTCTAGAGAAGAGTGTGGCTAATTGGCATGTAAGTTGGAGGTTAAAGAGCGGAAGGAAGAATCTGATTGTTTTTTTAAGTTACTGAGAAAGTGAGAATGCCACTCTGGGCAGAGAGAAATTCTTTTTTTTTTTTCTAGCCTTTCTTTATTCTAGAGACCATAGTGGGCCGCTGAGACTTGCAAAAAAGATTTCTTTTAATCTACCTTCCTTTTTCGCAGGCAGAAGGGCGTTTAAACCAAACGCATTCACCAAGCTTCCTCTTGCACTTATTCCTCGCTTTGCTCCCTGGAATTTGGCATTTGATGGATTCTGGATCTGACTTAAGGCTTTTTCTAAATCCAAGACTTGGGGAATTTCGTTAACAGTGCAATAAAAATAACTTCATAATGTTATGGGAGGGACATTAAAGACGGGGCGTGTGTGTATATGTGTGTGTGTGTGTGCGCGCGCGCGCGTGTGCACGCTACTCTCTTTCCTTAAAATAAAAAAAAATACAATGTTTCTTTAAAAGTCTCCATCTGCAAATCCCATTAGATGTGCATATAAGGTTTCTGATGATTAATAGTTGCCTGCTAGCGTTTTGGTTGGAGGGGATCTTTGTGTGCGGGTTAACCCCTCCCTCTCCTCTCTCACATTTCACTTCAGAAATTTGTCACTCTCTCCCCACCGCAGGATTTAAAAGTGTGTCCCAGCAGCCCTGGTCCGGCCCTCTGCAGGCATTTGCTCCGGGCTCCAGGACAAGCTCCTCATCAGCTGGTGCGTCTGGGTTGGGACAGTGAAAATGTTTAGTGTCATTGGCGACAAATACACGTACAGGGGACCCCAGTAGGCAGGCTGGTGCATCGGAGGGGCAGGAGGAAGCCCGACATAGGTGTGTGCACACGCATAGGAGTATCTGGCCACATGTGTGTGTCCTTTAAAGAGAGACTTTGGTTTAGGTTTTTGTTTTCGGTCCTGGGGTAAATTTTCTGCTAAACATTTTTCCCTATTTTTTTCTTTTGCATTTAAAAAAAACTGAACGTAAAAAGTATAGAGTCAAATCTTTGAAAGGACTGAGGCGTGCCGCGGACAGCAGATGGATCCCGTGGCCAGCAGCTGCATGAGGAGCCTCCAGCCCCCAGCCCCTGTCTGGGGCTGCCTTCGAAACCCCCACTCAGAAGGCAATGGGGCCTCAGGGCTACCCCACTACCCGCCAACCCCGTTCTCCTTCCACCAGAAACCAGACTTCCCAGCGACAGCGACGGCAGCATACCCCGACTTCTCGGCCTCCTGCCTGGCGGCCACCCCACACAGCCTGCCCCAGGAGGAGCACATCTTCACTGAGCAGCACCCCGCTTTCCCACAGTCCCCCAACTGGCACTTCCCTGTCTCAGAGGCCCGGCGCAGGCCCAACTCAAGCCCGGCAGGGGGTTCCAAGGAAATGGGGACCAGCAGCCTGGGCCTGGTGGACACCACAGGAGGCCCAGGCGAGGACTATGGGGTGCTTGGGAGCACTGCCAATGAGACAGAGAAGAAGTCATCCAGGCGGAGAAAGGAGAGTTCAGGTAGGTGGCTCAGGAGCTGCTGATCGTTCCTTTACTGTGTGACCTTGGGGAGATTACTCACCCTCTCTGTGCCTAGGTGCTCTCACCATGAATTTCTGTCTAGCCTATCTAAATGCAGGAGACTAGTGGTTTCTTTCACTGAGAGTTCTAGGATTCTCTGGTGATGGGGACAGTGTCTGTGTCCCAGCACTCCTGGGCCCCAGAAAACATGTCCCAGCAAGACAATGAAAAAGGATCAGCAAGGATTTGGAGGACATGTGAAATGGATCCTCTGGATGCAGACTGATGGGACTGGTGAGGGGCTTTCCTGAATCAGGCTGCTGTTGAGTCATATTCCTCCCCACCACGCTCTGGCCAGCCCCAAGTGGTCCTAGAGCCACAGGCCTCACTTACCAAGGAAGTCAGCTGAGACTGAGGCTCTGGGAGCTAAGACTGAAGCTGGGACCCTGGGTGGCCACCCAAAGCCAGGACTCTATGTGTCCAGGAGCCTAGAGGCAGAGAAGTAGGCCTGGGATTGGGATGGGAGAGTGAAGGGGTGAGCAGGGGATGGAGGGCTGAGGTTTGGGGCAGACTGCCTACCAGGTATTACCCTGCAGAGTTGGGCTATGCCCAGGCCCAGGGGACAGCTCAGCATGCTGAGATCGGGCTGACCCCCTCCCAGGAACGCAGCCCCTCAAGGAGCCTCGAGGGATGGGCAGCCTGCGAGAGTCAGGGAGGCAGACAGCCGAGGGAATCCATGCTGGAGTCCCAGTGACTGGAGGGTGAGGTTAGCCTGTTTGTTAAGAGCCTAGCTAAAGCCCTTCTCTTCCCCGGGGTGGGGATCTGCTGCTTCCTCACCTCCCCACCAGGCCCTCCCTGGCTTCTCACACTGCCTGTTCACCTTTTGTCTGATTCTTTGTCCTGACCTTATTCAGAACATGGTAGTGCCCAGGCCTCCTGCCTGTGCTGCCCGGTGTCCTCCTGACAGCCACCCTCGGGGGCACACTTATCTGTCGGAGCCTGTAGAGGACCTTCCCGTGGGGCTAACCAGGGCAGGCCAGAAAAGGAGGGCACCAATTAGCAAGCAGGAATGCTCTGGGTTTCTTTACAAAGCACTTTCGATGCAGCACAGCTTTCCCGAGTTTCTGCTCTTAGCCAAGCCCCAGGAATGCTAAGGTGAATGAAGGGGTCTCACCCAAAAAAGCACAAACTGAGAGGAAGAATCGTCCTGCAGAGGCCTCTCTGCAGCGGGATGTGCCCTGATGGGGAGGTTCTAGGTGCAGTTGGATACCGACGCTAGCCCTTCTGAGTTTTATTCGTATACGAATCAAGCAGGTTTTATTCGTATCTTGACTGTCTCAGTGTGCAAAATGAGAGACTGGAAGTTTGTGAGAACACAGAAAGATTGGGGTCAAAAAAGAGTGAGCAGCTTATCTCCATTTGCCTAGAACTTTTCCAGTTTGAGCACTGAAAATCCTGTGTCCTGGGAAACCCCGCAGTCCCAGGCAAACAGGACAATCGGTCACCCTAGAAGTGCGTTCGAACCTCAGGCTTCAGACCTGATATCAACCCTTCTGCAGATTTGAAATGCTCACTTTGAAATGATCTTTGGTCCTCCTGCTTGAAGAAGCCCCTCAGTGAGCTCACAATGGGTGATAGGAACCCACCACTAAACAGCGGGGCCTTTTGAACCTCCAGCCAGTTAGATCCCCATCCCAAAAATGAACTCATCCTACCCCTGGCAGGAAATGTGCCTAGGAGGCGCAGGAACTCAGCTGTAATCTGGGTTGAAGAGCTTTCCCCTTGGTGGCGGCGCCTGCCACTTTCCAGGGTACTGGGAGCCAAGGGCAGTGAGAAGGGATAGCAAAGCCAAGAGGCTGCTGGGCACAGGCGGAGACTTCCGGCATTCTGAGTCTCAGCAAAATCTAAGTGCACCAGCTGTCCTCTCGGCAAGTGGCCGACAGCCCTGCAATGCAGGGAGAGCATTCACGCCAAGCAGCTGGCCGCCCAGGAATACAGGGACACCCTCTGCCGAACGGCCTGCACACTTTGGGGTCAGACTCCAGTGGAGGGAGGTTCCCATCCACAGGGGCCCTGGGCTTCCCTAGGGGTCCCCTCAGGAGCAGCAGCAGCAGCTGAGGCAGGGTCCAGCGAGCCGACTCTCACTCATCGCCGTGATTCCAAACAAACTTGCTGTTCAACATGGAAATCTTTATTGCCCAGTTGCTTGAGTCCTCTTTTGGGATTTAACTGAAGGGGAGGAAGGATGAAAGAAAGATGAGCTTTGTAAGAGCCTAAAGAAGCGGGAAAGTGGCCAGCCGCAGTGGCTCATACCTGTAATCCCAGCACTTTGGGAGGCTGAGGCAGGCGGATCACTTGGAGGTTGGGAGTTTGAGACCAGCCTAGCCAACAGGGAGAAACCCCGTCTCTGTTAAAAATACAAAAATTAGCTGGGCATGTTGGTGCATGCCTGTAATTCCAGCTATTATTCAGGAGGCTGAGGCAGGAGAATCACTTGAACCCGGGAGGCAGAGTTTGCAGTGAGCCAAGATCGTGCCATTGCACTTCAGCCTGGGTGACAAGAGCGAAACTCTCTCTCAAAAAAGAAAATAAATAAATAAAAAGAAGGGGAAAGTGACGAGCTAAGCTCATAACCTACTCCAGGAGTCTGGAATTGAGCTCAGAAAAGGCAAACCCCACAAAGAACCCTCCCCCTCCCGACCCTGCCAGTCCTGAGTCTGTGATTGGATCATCTCTCTAAAATTGTGATTTTTTTTCATCATCAATTTTTTGCATTAATTTTTGTTTTTAAAAATATTGCCTTAAAATATTATTGATCTTGATTACAAAGGATTTGGGCGTGCCCTCTCATTTGGGGCTCCCCAAGTCTGGGTTGAGTGGTCTCTGGAAGGTTAACCAGCATTGATCAGAAACGTGTTTTCCGTAGCTCTTCCTGGTCAGACAGGCTGCAGTGTCAGCACTGCAGCTTTTGGCTGCATGACTTTGGAAAAGTTCTTAACTTCTTCCAGCCTCTGTTCGCCTAGCTGTAAAATGGGAATACAGCAGTAGCACCTTCCATAGAGAGTCTCTGTGAAGGTTAGATGCAGTGATCCATGAGATTAACTCTGTGCCTGGCACATAGTAAGAGTTCAATAAACAGTAGCTATGAATGGTATCAGGCCCATATTTCCTGCAACCGCCATCAGAATATAAGATCTGACAAATATTTCTATATTTATGGAGATGGTGGAATTGAATATTTCAGTTGTGCTGTCTTAGAAATTCCTGAGTCTGGGGAACTTCTGGCAATCATTTTGGTCCCGTTGTTATCAGTGTGGATCGTGGAGCTCAGAGACCTGCTGGAGAGGGTGTGGGTGACTTGGGCCTGGCAAATGCACCCCTTTTGGAGTGGCTGAGAAGCCTCCAAAATTGAAAGTTTGTTGCAAGAGGAACATTCTCTGCTCTCCCTCCTCCCTCACTCCTGTGGAATCTGGAGCAGACCCACTCAAAGAAATGATCAAGAAAGCAGGGTTGGCCAGGCACCGTGGCTCACATCTGTAATCCCGCCACTTTGGGAGGCCGAGGTGGGCGGATCACTTGAGGCCAGCCTGCTGGCCAACATGATGAAACCCTGTCTCTACTACAAATACAAAAAAAAAAAAAAAAATTAACCAGACGTGGTGGCAGGCATCTGTAATCCCAGCTACTCGGGAGGCTGAGGCAGGAGAATAGCTTGAACTCAGGAGGTGGAGGTTGCAGTGAACAGAGATCACGCCACTGCACTTTAGCCTGGGTGACAAAAAAAAAAAAAAAAAAAAAAAGGAAAGAAAGAAGAGAGTTCCCTGGCCCTTGACACTTCTCCACCCTGGAGACCAGCATGGTGTTAACTTACCCAAACCACTCCCAGCCCCAGGCCAATGGGGGTAAAGGCCCCTGCTGGCAGGAACAGCTGTGAGGCCACTGTTGTTTTTCCCTAAACTGTCCTTGCTACTGTGGTTGTCTTTAATTTATGGGAATGAGGGATTTTGCGGTGGGTTCCCGATGGGGTTCAAGGAAAGGTTGCGTGTGATTAGAGTGGCTCCAGGTGAATCTGACCGCCCACCTGGGAAAGCTGTGGGGCTAGAACTCAGCACTGCTCTCACGTCCTCCCTCTGCTGAGACGTGCCTTTAATCAGACGTGATTTGTCTCATCCTTCTTCAGCTCCAACACATGTGTTCCCAGAGCTGTCCTGCCCCAATTTCTCCTTGCAAGTTCTCTGCCTGCCCCTGCCCAACCATAAATTCACCTACGGTATAAAACCCCACAAATGGGCCTCTCTCTCCCACTTCCCCTCCTGATGCCCTTTGCCGGCCACCTCCCCCAGTTCCCCTGCACTATCCCTGCCATGAAGCCACACCAGGGACTGACCTTGCAAACACATCCTGTGTTTTCTTCCCCCTCTGACTGTGCTCTGGCGGTTTCTCCTTGCTTAGAGCACACTTCCCTTCCCCATACTTCTGTCTGTTGAAGTCCTGCTTAAAAACCACCCCTTCCAAGAATATTTGTTTCCTTCTTTTTCAAAAATTTATAGTTACACTTGTATGTAACGTGGCATCAGAGAAACCTATAGTTAAGAAGTTTCTGCTAGAATCTGTGTTGATTTTCTCACTTTAGCCAGCAGTTGCTTCGTAAAGGAACTCTCCAGAGATTTCTTACCTGGGACATCTTATATTTGAAATCTCCTTTTTAAAAAAGTGTGGCCAGCCGGGCACAGTGGCTCATGCCTGTAATCCCAGCACTTTGGGAGGCTGAGGTGGGTGGATCACGAGGTCAGGAGATCAAGACCATCCTGGCTAACACGTTGAAACACCGTCTCTACTAAAAATACAAAAAATTAGCCCGGCATGGTTGCATACGCCTATAGTCCCAATTACTAAGGAGGCTGAGGCAGGAGAATCACTTGAACCTGGGAGGTAGAGGCTGTAGTGAGCTGAGATTGCACCACTGCACTCTGACCTGACAACAGAGCAAGACTCCATCT